CCCATACAGGGTATAGGGCACCCATAGGGTGTGTAGGGCACCCATACAGTGCACAGGGCGCCCATACAGTGCACAGGGCGCCCATACAGTGCACAGGGCACCCATACAGGGTATAGGGCACCCATACAGTGTACAGGGCGCCCATACAGTGCACAGGACGCCCATACAGGGTATAGGGCACCCATAGGGTGTGTAGGGCGCCCATACAGTGTACAGGGCGCCCATACAGTGCACAGGGCGCCCATACAGTGCACAGGGCGCCCAAGCAGGGTGCAGGACCCCGTGCCAGGCCCCCCCGCCGCTCCCGCCGTATTTCAGCACGGGCAGCTGCCGGGCAGGGCGCCCGCCCGACACCCGAGCCCCGGGGCGGGGGGCGGATCCGGGGGGGGCTGCGGGGAGTTCCGACCCCCCGGGGCCCGTCTGCCCCCCCCGGGGCCGGTTCTGCCCCCTCGGCCCCAGTTCTGCCCGCCGGGTCCAGTCCATCCCCTCGGCGAATCCGGTTCAGCTCCCCTCACCGTCCCCCAGGTCCAATTCTGCCCGGTTCTACCCCACCCCGGTCCCAGTTTTGCGCCCCTCCGTCCCCGGTCCCGGTTCTGCTCCTCTTGTCCCCGTTTCTGTCCCCACTCAGGTCCCGCTTTTGTCCCGGTTCTGCCCCTCCGGCCCCGGTTTGGAGCAGCCGGTCCGGATCAATGTAAAGTGTTGGCGGGCGGTACCGACCTCCCCCTCGGGACCCTCCCCGGGACCCCCGGCCTTGCCGCTCCCCCCGGGACCCCCGGACCCCCCGGTGCCGCCGGGGGCGGGCCGGGCCGGGGGGCGGCGCGGGCCGGGGCTATAAAAGCCGCTGCCCGGTGCCCGGTCCCGCCGCCGCCACCGCCGCCGCTGCCGGTCCGACCCGACCCGACCCGACCCGACCCGCTCAGGTAACTCCCCCGGCACCGGCATCCACCGCTGCTCAACCGAACCCAACCGAGCGCGCTCCGATCCCGCCGGCACCGGCGAACCGGACCCGACCCCTCCGCTACCGGCACCTGGACCCGACCCCTGCGGTACCGACATGAGGC